CCTCGCCATTTTGGGACCTCCGCTCACACTGAGTTGAGGGTATTCATATGTGCCGCGAATTCTAATATTTTCCGCAGCTGAACTAAACAAACCCTAACCAATGCTATTCGGATTGGAATGTGTACTCTTGTACAACTGTTGACGACAATTAGTGCATGCATAGGCTGTAGTCTTTCTATTTTGAACCTGGTCCTTTGCTTTGTTCTCAGAGCTTCCTCTTTTCATGAGGTCAAAGTACAGCATGAGGATCATCCGCGACTGGTGCGGGGTCGTCAGCCCGCCAGTCTTGGGCCTCGGCGATTCCACGGAGTCTTCGAGAAACTCCAGCGCCACCGGAGAAAGCTTGGAACTCGCATCAGCATTGCTGACACGACCCTGCTCGCGCGCCTGTTCAAGCGCTTCCAACGTCGCGAGCCTCTCTGCGAGTGCCGCCTCCATTGCGTTGAGCTCCTATTTCCGGGCCGCGAGAGTTGCCTCGGCCTCGGCGCAGGCCGCCTCTCTCTTCTCGACCAATTCCAGCCTGCGGACGGCCATTGCACTTCTCGCCACGGCGGCGTTGGCCCCCTTGACCGTTTTGGGCGGACGGCCAATAGGGCCGCCAGTTGCTACGCGCCTTCCACGCTTAGTCTTGGCGGCGTGTCCTTCCTCGTAAAGGGCGAGTAGAGTGCTATCTGCTCTGTACCAAACGAGGCGACGAGGCGCAGCAGGCGCGCAAATTTCCAAAATATGACGGTGATTGGTCAATCGGTTCCAAAAGGTTCTAGTCTAGACTAGTCTAAATGTGGAACCTACAATCACCTTCCGGAACCTCTTCCACGCATAGACTATTCGTAATTCGTGCGGTGTACACATCTCCCTTCTTCCCCTCGCTCCTCGACCAGCTTTTGCTTAGACATGGGTTGTAGTGAAGGGAGGGGTCTTTCTGGCGATCAGGGCTAGACTCACCCTCAAGGGATGACCGAAACCTTCGTGCTGCTGCGCATCCGCCGCGAGGCGTGCGTGTGGTGGTGGAGTTGGGTCGGCACTGATGGGGTCAGGCGGGAAAATGTAGATGCGCGGGCCTTTCTGGCCGTCGGCATAGGCAATAATGCCCATCTCATTTTTGTGCGCGGAGGCAGACACCATCAGAAAGGTGGACGGGCACTACACGGCCCTAGGTTTGCGAGAGAGAGCTGTATTGCCTCAGTAACCTGGCTTCGCCATCAAAGGAGGAGGGAGCAGGTGGCGACGAGCTGAACTGGGCTGGTTGACCATTCGGCGCGAGAATTTTTTTTTTTTTCAGACCAAGAACCTTGAGTGCAATGAGGGAGAAAGCGAGGAACGGACTGGGAAGGACAGCAACGAGAGCGTGTACGGACGGAGCAGGTCGAGTGGCGTTTTGCTCGGGCTGACTAC